TTCAAATTTGAAGTTTAGTGTCAAGATTTCAGCTTGGAATAATTTTTATTTGGTCCTCACAGCTCTCATTTCAAATGAAAGGCGCCACCTTCAGATCTGCAGCGAATAATGTCTTTCAAAGCTCAAATTTGAAACTTGGTGTCAAGATTCATTCTGAAATTATTTTTATGCGGTCTTCGTGGCTTTCATTTTGAAGTGATATGCGTGTCTTTCAAATTTGCAGCGAATAAAGTCTTTCAAAGTTCGAATTTGAAGTTTATTGTCAAGATTTCATCTTGGAATAATTTTTTATGTGGTCCTCATAGCTCTCATTTCAAATGAAAGGCGTCACTTTCAAATCTGCAGCGAATAATGTCTTTCAAAGCTGAAATTTGAAATTTGGTGTCAAGACTTCATCCTAAAATTATTTTTATGCGGTCTGCGTGGCTTTCATTTTGAAATGAAAAGCGTCACTTTCAAATCTGCAGCGAATAAAGTCTTTCAAAGTTCAAATTTGAAGGTTAGTGTCAAGATTTCAGCTTGGAATAATTTTATGTGGTCCTCACAGCCCTCATTTCAAATGAAAGGCGTCACTTTCAAATCTGCAGCGAATAATGTCTTTCAAAGCTCAAATTTCAAATTTGGTGTCAAGACTTCATCCTGAAATTATTTTTATGCGGTCTTCGTGGCTTTCATTTTGAAGTGAAAGGCGTCTCTTTCAAATTTGCAGCGAATAAAGTCTTTCAAAGTTCATATTTGAAGTTTAGTGTCAAGATTTCAGCATCAGAAAATTAAATAGGACTGAAAAAAATCGACACTTTTTTCAGATTTCTTCAATGTTGTACAAAATTAAATTTCCTATAATTTACAATTTTGCTTCTAAGACTGATAGTCACGGAGATATGCACTAAAAAAAAATACGAAAAATCGCTTTTTATGGAACTTCTAACTTTTGAAGGGAGGGAGGGGTAAACATAGCAGTTAAAATGACGGCATGGTGATGCTCAAAAACTCTTTTGGACCATGTGTTTCGCTAAGTGTGTACTACGCATTAGGATACTCGCTTCGCCCTCATTAATCAAACTTCAAACTCATGGAAAAAAGTTTCACTTTCAAAACTAGTTGTACAAATAACTACTAATATAAAATTTCAATTTTTATATAGAACTTTTGATGTAATTCTATGTTTTGAATAATGTTAACTGTCAGTGATGACAGGAGTCATCATAGACATTTGGAAATGTCAAAAATGCGGCTGGTAAAGTGACAAGACAAGCGGCAGGAAACGTAGTCTGATCTGCCTCTGTCATGGAACTAAAATTTCCTGACAGAAAGTAGGCATGAAAATGAAGGTTTCGGGACGATTTTGGGTAAACTTATTTTAACGCTCATTTTGTGTACTTCTACCGATTGATCATGTGTCATGATAACGAAAAATGGGGACTAGGTAGAATAAAAACAAAATACACGAGAAAGAGCCTGGTTAATCAGAATTTAACTTAACAAATTAATGTACGTCGATGTTCGTCCAAATTTCCCGAACGTGATTCACGTTTTCAATTTCGAAATATGGATAAGAAAACGCCTTGAAAGTTGATGACCTGTACCTGTTTGTTATCTTTAGTGACAGACCGCTATAGAAATCGTTTCTGCAGTTGTCATATTCGTCAGTCGGTAATTTGTGCTCGAATTTGTTGCAGTATACAATTTTTCATGCTATTTTCTGGGTAAGCCATAATTTTCCTTCTATTAAAGAGTTGTTTCTAAAACACGCAACGTTTATTTAAACAATTTACACCATTTGAAGTTAAATTTTTTGGCCCGATAGGTATTAGACATTATTACAAAAGGTACTAAGGGTTGCACACATACATTCGCGGTCCTTAGCATTATTATGTACTACATGGAAAATATCTAAAAACAAGTCCCATTCGTAACTGGACAAATTATAGTATAAAAATATTACATCCTTTTTACACTCGGTTTTGAAGTACCCCTTGAAAATTTTAAATTAATAAGGGTCGTGTGGCACCTCGTTGGAAAAGGATTTTCGTTTTTTTTGCGGAGTTTGGCCTCTTATCTCCTCTTAAATTCAACATCTAATGCTCTGGTTGAATTGAACTCTAATAAATACACGTATTTTCTTTACACATTTTTGGATGTACAATACTGGTTTGACTCATAAAAAGAAAAAACACAAAGTGCAATGCCTATTTTGTGATCACGTGTCTATGCCAACTTTGATTATTATCCAAAATTGATCTTTACCGCACAATGAATTCCTGGCACATTCTCCTGTTCAAAGTATACTATTGAAATTAAATATAAAATTCCAATCAATGAACCAAAATACCTCAAATCGCCTTGTTAGGATTCGATTCTAATGAATAAATGCAGAATATTCAAATTGAACAAAAAAATCAGACATTACTTTTTTTGAGGCCCGAAAAAAAATTGTCTCAGATCGACCCGGAAAAAAAATTTTCTTACAGAACGTGGCCTGTAGAATCCATAATTTAAAACAGTTCCAAGATTGGGCCACTAGTTCAAAAGTTACAGCCCTTTGAATTTTCTTTCGAAATTGGTTTCTAGCAGGAACAAAATTCAATCAACTTAAGACTCTGCTACACAGAGAGCGATATGCGGTCAGCGGTCTGCAATATTTGTATTTTGTTAACGGTCTGTACTCTCCCTATTGGACAGGTACAATGCATATTTACATAGAATACAGATATCGCAAACCGCGCTCTGTGTGTCAGAACTTTTACAGGGAAAAATTGATCTTATTTCGCCTTGGAAAATTCCGCTCTCTTTTACAGATATGGAAACAGGTCGCTTCGATGGTACAGTTGACCGATGGCCAATGCGTCAACGATGTGCCTTTGTCATACTTTTCCGCTCGGCTTTAAGAGGTAAGATTTCTTTATATAATTTTTGTTTTAGATCCTACCATTTATTGAAAATGTTATGACGTTTCAGGTAGTTTATGTCATCCACTGCGGGCACACGCCTTATCGTTTTCCACACCACAAACATGACTTGGGATCCATAAGAAATTTACTCGGCAGTGACTAGTGGCTAAAACGTGTCCAAGATTTTGAATTCTTTGGACAAATGGGTCAGAGGAGAACAACAGACCTTCCAGAGCACTACGGGAGTCACTACCAAACGTGAGTCAGCATGGTGTTTCTGTGTATTCTTATTCAAAAATTAAACTTAGTGGCGTTATTTAAGGGATGATATGTGTAGATAGAAACGTTTCATTTAATTACCGATCAAACATCCCCAGCAAACACTTACGTTTAAAAAACGTTTTTAAAGCGCTTTGAAAGGAGAAATTCGGTATTGGTAGTATGGTATACTTTTTTTGTAGACCAATTTTATACTCTTCGTTTAAAATACTATTTTTACTCATATATATAAACCATACAGTTCATGTTCTACATGGATGTGTATAAATGAACGTTTTGATAAACGTATATTACACTACGTTGGTTTACCATACGGGGTTTACTTTGGTATTTCCTATAAAAAACGAATATAAATTAGGTATACTCTACGTATCAAAAATACGTATTGTTTATGTCATATCCTAACGACACTGTTATAAGAAACGTTGACAATAAGTAGATAAATAAACGTTTTCAGTATCGTATACAATACGTTTCTAATTTACCATATACTGGAATATTGGTTTGCTTGCTTGCCCTACAAGGACACGAATTTTACTCCATTACTGAAATTGGTACATGGAATTACATTATTATATGCGACCGTTTTATGCGTATATTTTAAATATTTTAACACTGTTTATTTTGCACATTCTCACGTATGCATTTGCATATGTGTTGTGTGATAATTAGAGTTATGGCTTCATCCAAAAACATTGCGGAATTTGGTAAGTTGACAATAATAATAGGATGATATTTTCTGATATTTATCTTTATTAGGACGTGGCAAAGCACTATTCTGGACGGGAAAACTGAATCGACCCCGCTGTTGGCTGTCGCTATTTTCAACAGATCGTCATTTAAACTTATTTTTTTTTATTCTGCAGAAGGATGCTTCTTCAACGCAAACCGGCGCCTCCTATATGTATGCAAAGACGGACAGAATAAATTGGAAATGACTCATCTTGGTAGTTAAAAGTTCTACAAACTCGGAGCGGGTACCTCAGGATCCCTAGCGACGCCACTCACTGATGCGAAGGCAACAAGAATATCCAGGTTTGCAAATAGGAAATGAAGAAAATGGGTCGTGACAGACTTGGTAATTATTATGTGCTTTATAAAGATTGTCTTAAATTGAATAGGATAACATGGCTATCTTTGTTATTATTAATAATAATTATTGTAATAATTTATTGTAATTTATTGTAATTGTATTTATTTACCCAACAACAACAACCAATAACACGGCAACTACATCTTCCAGTATGCTCTACATAATTAACAGAAAGTTTAATTTTTAATTTAATTATAATTAGTGAATTCCAAAAACTATCTTAGCAAACTCTTTGATTAATTTTAATGATGGATTATGAATATCAGATTCGGTTAAATGCCTGATGCATATTCCGATGCGATATTTTGAAAAAAATAAATCGTTTCGTAGATAATTGGAAATAAGTGAAAATCGCCAATTTCAAAAGGTTCAAATATTCTAGTAACAAAGAGAGCTATCGAAATAAGTTTCAAATAAAAGTTTCAAGATTCGATGGGATAAATTCAATGGACGAATTTTTCAAAATGGCGGTTTTCGAGATATTGACATCAAATTCCATACTTTAAATTGAATTGATCCCATATTGGAGTTTGATACAGTTATTTATCATTCAAATAATAAACATGGGTAAAATTACAATTTGCACTTTTTCTTAATAGTTGGCCATGGAACCAGCAAACAATTGACATTTGCAATATTACAAGCCAGTAATTTTATTAAAGAATTAATTAACATAAAAAATATAAAAACCGAATTTAAAATCAGAGGAAATGCATTCCATTATTAACTAAGCACATTCGGCACCGTTGAGCTACTGCAGCCGCTACCTTGCGCAATATATTCCTATTAAAGAAATGTTACATTGTAAAATGACAATTACACCTCTATGGTAGTTTTGTTTCCATGGCCAACTATGATTAAAAATTGAAAATTGTAATTTTACCCATGTTTATTATTTGAATGATCACTTTTTATACATGTTTGGTAAGAGAAAAAAAACTGTATCAAACTGAGTAAAAATCCAATGTGGCGTCCATTCAAAATAAGGAAGATGATGTCAATATCTCGAAAACAGCCATTTTGAAAACTTTTTTTCTACGTTCATCGAGTTTATCCCATCGAATCTTGCAAGTTTTTTTTGAAACTTTTTTCGATAGTTCTGTTTATTACTAAAATATTTGAATTTTTTAAAAAAGTCGATTTTCACTTTTTCCTTCAAAACGATTTATTTATTTTTTATCCATCGGCATCAAAAACTACACTGCCAAATTATCCGAATCTGTAAGTATAATAATGACAAGGATAGCCATATTATCGTACTCAATTTAAGCCACCCTGTATAATTTAGAACTTTTCATTTGATTAAGTATACAGTCTACAAAGCCCATATATTTCATTTATTATAAACGTTTATTGGCAGTGAATTATCCATGAATTTAATACGAATAATGCGTAATTTACTACATACGCGAAGTTTTAACGTATTCAGTAAACGCATATAAATCTTATATCAATGGGAATAATAAACGCATACAAGAATATAGCAATTTTCGCCGGATATTTATGTGTACTATATACTAGTGTATAATGAGGTTTTGTACACGTAGGGTTTTAGTCTACTACAACCGCATTTTATACGGAACTGTTACGTTCACTTAAGAAAAACTGCCAAGTTTGCAAATTATTTCTAAAAAAATAAAGCTTATGGCGTATACGTCTTCTTGACGTTATTTAAGGGACGATATTAACTTATGTGGTACACCAAATATTTTTCTTCCTTTGATAGATTATGATTAAAAGGTCTACAAAGGATCCTCAAATTGCGTTCTGGAAATCCCCTTGTCTTCAAGTTAGTTCCTCTTACATGTGTAGCAATTCTTAATTGCAGTGGTTGTAACCTTTGTGGTACTTCAAATATTTTGTTTCATCGGTAAATTTTTATTAAATGTAACCAACCCTGAAATGACCATCTAAAAATAAATTTTCTTCTTATTTTCAACTTGCGTAATTTTTTATAAAATGCGCACTTAACATTTGTAGCAATCCAATACAGGAGGATATGGTTGGGTTTTTTGCTTCTTCTTTGTAAGTACGCCATTTGCAATTAATCTACTTGACGTCTACCTTCTTTCTTACAATTCTCCATCGATGATTGTTGCACATTCATCTATAATTATCCCACTTCTTTAAAGAGGGCCTTAATTTCTAATTTTGGATTCAAGTTATAATAATTTCAAGTTTTAATTTCAAGTTCTATTTTAATTGTTACCAGTTTAACGGACCAGTACAAATTGGATTTAATTCAACCGTAAAGACCAGTCTTTGGGAGACGCTTTACCTACCATTCTGTCGACGTCATCCACTGATAAGAAGCCGCCATTTACTGAAATTGGGTCACTGGGTCATGCACCAGAATTGATATCAAGGATTCGATCGTTAACCATGAAACAATTTCCGTAACTATTTAGCGTAATAATTCATCATTATTTTGAGCCTTCAGGGTTATAAGCTATCGCAATCAGTTAATTTGTTACCTTCAGTACCTATTCATTATCTTTGCGAATGCGAATTCTGTTAAGTTATGGTCGAGTTTTACACGCGAATGTTATGATAGCCCGCCACTTCCTTCTGAAGAGGTCGACCGAGTCAGTATCGTATCTTGTGATAGAAGCTTACTACAAGTAGTTTGTTTTGGTTGCAGGTTTATTATGGATCCGGGAACTGAGCTCACTTCTGTGGATGACATCTAATTTACATTAAGGTAAGCGTTGTCTTTTTATGTTTTGTTTCTATTTGGCCTATACGTGCGCATTTTTAAAATTTTGCACATTTGAATATTTGTACGTTACGCTATTCCATTGGGGAGGCAATTTTTATTTTGCCATTCAATGACAATAAACCAGCCTTTATGTTGGTAGTTCAATTAATTTGTATTCTTACCAAAATACAAAGTCAGAACTAAAACTTTCTTTTTTCTAGAGGATTTCGACCGCGCACCGATGGATTTCGACGAGGGTGTTGATGGCCTCATCGCTAAATATGGAGACCGATGCCGCATCCCACTTGACCAATCCGCCCTTTTCTGAACTTGCCGTCAGGTAATGAACAGATTTAATTGAAATCCTTCAAAACGATTTTTTTCCATAATCATACTTTTGAAATTTGTTTTATAAAGTTTTTGTTTTGTTTTCGGAATCGTTTCATGCGACTACTTACGGGGAGTACCTTTTTCTTTAAACAAAACGTTCTTCGGCGATAAATTAGGTTCCTTTCACTGTAACTGACTTAATGGCAGAGTATAATTACCTGCTTTAATATCATTTTGCTTTTAGTGAATATTCTTTAAAGAATTAAACTTTTTCAATAAGTTTTATAACTCACCGCGGCCGAATAATGCGAAAAATTAAAGAAAAGGTAAATTAGATTATATGATTCAAGTTACCGAACATCATATTTAATTAACGAGAAACCGAATTTCGTTCAAAAGCTTATTTATGGCTAAAACAACAAGTAAATTGGCTAATAAAGCTTTGTTTTAAGAGAAACTGGGTCATAACAATTTTGTCTTATTTAGTCAGTCAATGTTGATATAGTTATGCAATCGTCCCAACTTAAATAAGGACGGTCAATTTCCGCGTCCTTTCAGTAAAATTAATTAATAGTAATTGATAAGGACCCAAAGGACTGTAGCAAAAAAATGCGAAGAGCCGAAGTAAAATAAGCACATAAGTACACATTGGCCGCATTTCTAGAATAAAATAATTAAGTGGTTCCATAACATAATCCCGTGCCATTTACGTTCGTCCTGGCGTATATCCTTAATGTAATGTGGGCTAAACCACAAGCTAAGAACTGCCCCCAGTCTCGGTGACAATTAGACCCCAGTCCCTTCCTGTAGGATTATACCTCTTGCAGGACATTTCGCAACCTTCAAAATCCCGGATTACGCTCAACCCCGAACTTCATATATCAATTTAGATTTTTATCTTATCTCATTATTCACCGCGAAAGTAATTTGCGCAATTAAGCCTCTCATTATATGGAAAAAAAGGAGAAAATATCCGAGCGCTTTCGAGTACGGTAGTAGTGCTTTAAAATTCTTCGGCAAAGAAAACTGGCGTATAGAATTTTGTAATAACGTTTTAATAATTAATTTTGTCATTACAAACGTTTCATTACTCCGAAAGGTCTCCTCCGTTATTGGAGTACGTTGTCAAAAGGGGATTAATTTCGACATTGCCAGATTGCTTATTTATTATGTCAGCTTCATCACAGCGCTACCACCATTATTACATTGGACGTGGTGTGTTTAGTGTTACATGAGTTCCTTATAATTTAGCTTGACAGGTCCTAGCTAGGTGTATGTGGGTGTAAGTTTTGTCGGCAAATGACAACGTGAATTATTCGAAGCGTATGATTTAGATTCTGAGACCAACCTTCAATTTTCTTAGGGGGTTTTCGTAGCTGCATCTGTTATAATTAGCATTCGCGTTTTAAACAGTGGAAACAAATCCAATTTAAGGATCTCTTTCTATTTTGACAAACAAACAACAACATCTGTTTTTTTAAACAATATACCAACTACAGCATTTTATAAATTGTATGGTGCGATACATTTCCGGTTACGTGACACTAATAAGCCCCCCTGGTACGATCATGATATTACTAAAAATGAATACAGGGCAGAAATTAAGCGTGTTCAACAAAAAAAATTGCGGAAGAAGCTCTAAATCTTCCAAAATCTTAATTAAAAGCGTATTTTTCCACGATTTAATAAACGTTAAACAATGATGCACAACTATTATACATATTTTAATTATACCTCAATAGCAGTAAATGGTTTTTTACATGGAAAAGGCGTTCCAAGTTAACCGGTGATCGCTAACAAAGAGGCGATCTATGGAAGGTACGAGAGATATTCCTTCCCCTCTCGACTGTATAAGGCAGTAAGACTAAGCAGCAATTCATACGGAAAAGTCGTTCAAAGTTAATCGGCGGTCGATACCAACGAATTGGTGTATGAAACATGCAGGAAGTGCCCGGGTTTCCTCTCTCGGTGATCGAACAACTCTATCTTCGCCAGGTGCAACATATAGCCTTCACTACGACATTCTTCTTCTCTCAGGCATTCAAGTTTAGACTATACGCTTCAAAAAGTGGTGTTATTAAGGTGTATCCACATGTGACATGGAAATGTCGCTTATTTGGTGTGTAAGTCGAACAAAACCTAAAATTATATTGTATATTATACCTGTTATACTACGTTTATTACATTAACTGTTAATCTACACGTTAAACCCAGCATATTTCAATTTAGTAGACGAAGAAGTTAACATAACCCCCTAAAAAGGTTAGCTGTCACGTTTGTTTATAAATAAATAAGTAAAGCTGTCGCTTAAAATTTTTCATCAGTTTCGGCAACTTAAGAATGGCGAAATATAAGTAAAATAACACCAGATTTCGAGGAAATGATTTTTAATTAAGATTGTGGAAAATTTAAGGCTTTTTCCGCAATTTTTTTTTATTAATTTCATTATCATATTTGGCTCATTATCATAGGCCAATAGTTTGTACATTGGTATCCCCTCCCAATTGTCTAGTAATCTGAGCTTTTTTGCCGAATCTCGAGTCGAAAACTATATGGGCCTCAGTGTAATTCGTGAATTTGTGTTCGATCGATCCTTTGACTGAAGCTTATACTAACTAAATAAACAAATAAACTTATAACTAATAAAATTTCAATCGGAAAAAGTGGGGGGTGCTAACTTGATTTCAAATTAGCACCCCCACCTTAAAATCGGCTTTCCGGTGAAACTAAGCGGGTACAAATCCATTGTATAAATTAGTCTTTAATGTACACATTCCATTTCGTCTAATTAATTCTGAGAATTGCTCTTTTTTTAGTAAAAAAAATTGCTTAAATTATGAAAATCTAATTTTGGTATAAATTAGTCTTAAACAAGTATTTCGGGTTGAATATAATGGTATCACTATTTTGTATAGTTCTACGTTTTCGCAAAAATCGCCGTTTTTTATTAGGTTTAGGCGTAGGACAGGAAAGGCGGGGCGCATGTTGGGCCGTAGGTAAACGTTGTTTGCCGCCGCGAACGGGGAGAGACGGGTCTACGGGAGAGCCCTAGCTATGCCGAACTCGCCTTCGGCTCGCTCGGCATTGGTGTAGGAAAAATGCGAGCAGTTTTTCGTCGCGAGAAGGGCGAGCTCGAGCTATGCCGAGCTCGCCTTCGGCTCGCTTGGCATTGGTATGCACTTCGCATTTTGTGACCGAAACCGTTTATCGACCCCGACATTCGGGACGGCGGTTGGTTTATGCCGAACTCGCCTTCGGCTCGCTCGGCATTGGTATACGAGGCGCGTGTTAAGAATCGAATTCCTAGATTATTTTACTTCGTTAGGGGGAAGGGTTATTAAGAATGTGTGTTTAAATTTGTATTTTCAAAAAGTTAAAAAAAAATTCTCAAACGTACAAATAACGTTATGTACAACGCTGCTTGGTGTGATGTTCTGTTTAGCTTCATTTTTGTTTGAATTTGTGTTTTAAATTAAAAAAGTTAAAAAAAACTTCTTAAACCTACAAATAACCTAGTCCGAAGCTGCTTAGTGTCACACTCTGTTTAGCTTCATTAAGAATTTTTGTATGAGTGTGTAGTACAAAGGAAATTAAAAAAATAATCGAGGTTGAGGAGCGAGTTTACCGGAGAACCCTTCGGCTCGCTCGGCATTGGTATGAAAAAAAGTGTAGTGTGTGTTTGGCCGTTGGTAAATGTCGTTTGCCACTGTGGACGTAGAGAGACGAATCTAAGGGAGAGCCCTAGCTATGCCGAACTCGCCTTCGGCTCGCTCGGCATTGGTATAAAAAACATGTACTGTGTGTTTGGCCGTTGGTAAATGTCGTTTGACACCGTGGACGTAGAGAGACGAATCTAAGGGAGAGCCCTAGCTATGCCGAACTCGCCTTCGGCTCGCTCGGCATTGGTGTAAAAAAATGTGCTGTGTGTTTGGCCGTTGGCAAGTGTCGTTTGCCACCGTGGACATAGAGAGAGTCCCATGATTTTCATACGTGCTCATTTATTTTAGGTTGATAAGTAACGCATTTGATCTAGTTTACTATCGTTTGCAGTACGTAAAAGACAAAAATATGAAAGATCAAGCTACTGTCATTAGTTTAGGTACCTATATTTTTTATACGAACAGAGAAAAAATAAGTTCTTTTTTTGCAAATTGCTGGACGATTGTATAGACTTTCATCACCACACATTTTCAAAATCCTCGCACAACAACACATATCACTTGCTACATTAAGTCCGTTTTCCATAATTTTACTTCCTGTATTATTCAACGGTATTGTCGTAACAGACGTCTACGTCATATAATCACTATGACAAATTTTTAATTTTACCAGTCTCAAAATACTGTCAGCAAAACTGAGAGGACGACAGATTAGTGCCATTATGACACCCCGGAACAAAATGGCAGACCACAAACACTCGATGTACACCCTGTATATTTAGTGTCAAATATACCGACACACGCGATTCTATTTGGTTTCATCGGAATAAAATGGTCGACCAGTTAACGACCTATTGTGGCCTATTACAAATACTCTATGTATAACTTAACATTACACCCTGTATATTTAAAATGAGACAGTCAATCAGAAAACAAAATTCAAATTCGCCCTCACAAATTCAAATTTACTCCAACAAAATGGCAGACATCCGGAAATTCAAAAATTTAAATCTCCCGCTCAAGTTTCGAGCTACCTTTTGACGTTCATCCAAAGACATGGACCGAACCTTCTCGCAGTGGGCGCTAGAATGATCGCCATCACAAGAGTTACAAATCTCACCTTAAGACCCTTCAGAACAGTATTTTTCCCTTTCTTGGACTTGTCCGGTTCACTCGGTTTAATTTTCTCCGAGGACCTCTCGCATTCTGTAAAACTAGTGTGACATTAGGCCCTCACTTGTCCTCACTAACGTCTCATATCTCTCCTGTAACAATTGCCAAGATATTTTCACCTCAACTACTTTAGTGGTTGTAATATTTCCAGCTATCAGAGCCTCTAGCATGGTGTTCCCC